TCATGTAGTTCACACACGTGTTTACCTTTGAAAGTGTGTAATTAGCAAAAACTGTACACATGCCACAATTCTTGGAAATTCTCCATTTTTATAATCAGTTGTACTGAGGGGGTGTGGTAAAAAAAATGAGGCATGAGAATTGTACAAAACCTAGTGTATCATATAACTTGAATTGATATTACTTTGTAACATACCACTTCGTGTGAAAGCGTGATATGGAAGCCCTATAAATAGTAACATGATAGGATATTATATTCACGTGAGGGAATATATTCCCTAGAGACATAAAGACAAAAGAGTGTTAGATTTACTGATCAGACTTCTGTATAAACTAACTTCTGTATATTATTTTTAACAAAATAAGTTACACACTTGATCCTTTATAGACCCAAATAAAACTAATACAATTCTAAACATAAATTCAAAACATAACTGCTACTATCATGACTAATAAAACTATTGTCATTCCTACTACCATACTTAATACAAATCATTTATTTCAAACACATTTAATGTTTATTCAACAAAACTCATCTTTAAACTTTAAATGCTTCTTCGATCTAGCATTCCAATCATCTTCTTGCCTCTTTCAAATACTTCTTTTGATAGGGGTTTTGTGAAGATATCAGCTGCTTGGTTTCTGCTTGCTACATGCCTTAGTTCCACGCTTTCCTCCTTCACATGTTCACGAATGAAGTGAAATTGAACATCTATATGCTTGCTTCGTTCATGATTCACTGGGTTCTTTGCCAATTCAATAGATGATTTATTGTCCACTTGTATTATTGTTGGACCTTCCTGTTTCAGCTCCATCTTGCTTATCAACCTTCTGAGCCATACTGCATGGCAGACGCACCAGGATGCTGCCACATATTCTGCTTCACACGTTGAAAGTGTCACTATAGGCTGCTTCTTCGATAGTCAAGTGAAAGCTGTGTTTCCCATGAAAAACACATATCCTGCAGTGCTCTTTCGATCGTCAATGTCTCCACACCAGTCACTGTCAGAATAACCCACTAGCTTGTAGTCTTCTGTCTTTGAATAAACCATCCCAAGTGACACTGTTCCTTGGATGTATCTTAGAATTCGTTTCAGCGCCTTCCAATGTGTGTGTACTGGCTCCTCCATGAATCTGCTCACTATGCCAACACTTAGTGAAATATCTGGCCTTGTGCATGTGAGATATCAAAGGCTACCTACCAAGCTTCGATATTTGCTTCCTTCGACCCGTTCTCCTCCATCAAACTTCGACAGCTTTGTACCTGGCTCCATTGGCGTTGAAGTTGGATTGCAATTTTTCATTTTATATTTTTCTAAGATATCCTTTGCATACTTTTCTTGTGATATGAAGATTCCAGCTTCTTCCTGTCGAATCTCCAGACCAAGAAAAAATTTCATCAGACCTAAGTCTGTCATTTCGAATTCGCTTGTCATGGCGCCTTTGAAGTCTTCGATCATCTGAACATTATTGCCTAAAAAGATAAGATCATCTACATAAAGAGCAACAAGTAATAAATTACTTCTATTTTTCTTCACATAGAGGGTTGGTTCATAAGGGCATTGCTCGAATCCATTCTCCTTGAAATATGAGTCAATACGTGTGTTCCACGCCCTAGGTGCTTGCTTCAGCCCATACAATGCTTTCTTCAGTTTCAGCACCTTCTTCTCTTCTCCAGTCCTCATATATCCAAGTGGTTGTTCGACATAAATTTCTTCTTCGATCACACCATTCAAAAATGCTGTCTTGACATCCATTTGAAATATTAGCCATTTGAACTGAGCAGCTTGAGAGATGAGTAGTCGAATTGTCTCCATTCTTGCAACAGGCGCGAACACTTCATCATAGTCAATTCCTGCTTTCTGCTTGTATCCCTTCGCAACCAGCCTTGCTTTGAATCTTTCGATTTCTCCTTGAGCATTCATATTCTTCTTAAATACCCACTTTACACCAATGGGTTGACTTCCTTTTGGTAATTCGACCAGCTCCTAAGTATTATTGCGTTCGATTGCTCTAATCTCTTCGTCCATTGCATTTTTCCACTTCTCATCTCTTAACGCTTCTTCAACACTTATGTCTTCAGCATCTGCCAGAAGGCACACAAGATGCACCTCACTTGTTGAATCATACAAGTCTTGCAAACTTCTCATTCTGGGTTGTAGAGGTTCATCTCCATCTTCTGTTTCTTCATGTTCTTCTGGAATACTTGTCGGTACAGCTATAGTTGTTTCTTCGACTGTGTCAACAACCTCAGTCGAAATGTTCTAGTCCCACTTGCTGGCTTCGTTCATTCGAACGTGTCTGCTCACAATCACTTTCTTGCTTATGGGATTGAAGAGCTTGTACCCTTTCGTCTTCTCATCATATCCTATGAATATGTACTTCTGACTTTTGTCTTCAAGCTTTGTTCTTCGTTGGTCTGGTACATGTGCATAAGCTATGCTACCAAATACTTTGAGATGAGAGATTGTTGGCTTCTGTCCACTCCACGCTTCTTGTGGTGTTTTGTCTTCTAACTTCGAATGTGGACACCTATTCTAAATATAGACAGCACATTGTACTGCTTCTGCCCAGAACTCTTTCAACATGTTCTTGCTTTTGAGCATTGATCGAACCATGTCAAAAATAGTTCGATTTTTCCTTTCAGCCACACCATTTTGCTGAGGTGAATATGGTGCAGTTAGGAATCTCCTTATGCCCTGTTCTTCACAGTACTTCACAAAGTCCATCGAAGTATACTCTCCTCCTCTGTCAGATCGAATTGCTTTGATGTGTTTGTCTGTTGCCTTTTCCACCATTACTTTGAACTTCTTGAACACTTCTAGTGCTTCAGATTTTTCTTTTAGGAAGTAGACCCAGGTTTTTCTTGAGAAGTCATCAATGAAGGAAATGAAGTATCTTTTTCCACTGAAGGATTCTGGAGTGATTGGCCCATATATGTCAGTATGTATTAATTCGAGTATCTGTTTAGCTTGATACTCTGCCTTCTTTTGAAATGAAGTTCTTGTTTGTTTGCTGAGCACACATTCTTCACAGAATTTTCCTTCGAACTCCATGTCTGGTAATCCATGCACCATGTTCCTTTTCGCCAACCTTCTCAGACCAGCATGATGTAGATGACCAAAGCGCATGTGCCATAGTGACGCTTTGTCTTGCACTTCGATCTGCAGACATTTCTTTCGATTGTTCCTCAGGTTCAGTTTATACATTCGATTCCTTTCCATTTCGACAGCGGCAATTAGGTATCCTGTTTTGTCCTTCAACTGAAGTGTTCGATCTTTCATCAGAATCGAAGCACCTTTTTCTGTGAGTTGTCCCAGACTTAATATGTTGGTCTTAAGATCTGGTACATAGTACACGTCTTCGATTGATCCAATCAAGCCATCCTTCTGCAAGTAGCTGATTGTGCCCTTTCCTTCAACCTTCACTTTCGATGCATCTCCAAAAGACACACTGCCATCTTCAATTCCCTTCATATCTTTAAACAGGTGTTTGTAACCACACATGTGATTACTTGCTCCTGAGTCAAGATACCAAATACTGTCATTGGTGTTGATTTTGTTTTGGGCCATCAGAAGAAACCCTTCATTCGATTCAGCTTCCAAGGCTAGATTAGTTGTCTCTTCAGTCTTCTTTTCATTTCGACAGTCTTTTGCAAGATGTCCCACTTTGTCACAGTTGTAACATTTGTAGGAGTTGCAATCCTTCGCGTAATGACCATACTTCCCACACTTGTAGCATTCGAAATTTGAATAATTCAAACGACCACCTCTTTGACCACGTCCTCTGCCACGCCAATTTTGTTGGCTCGAATTTCCTCTTTCGAAGTTGCCACCTCTACCACTTCGACCACTGTCACGACCTCCACATCCACGTCCTCTTCCTCGAAAGTTGTGAGAAAAGAGTACCTTTTCATCTTTGTTCGATTCTTTTGTTTGGTTTGCTTCTTCGTCTGCTTCTTCTTTCTTCTTCATCTTTCTTTGTTCATGTGCTTCGAGCGAACCAGTGAGCTCTTCGATTGAGAGCGTCGAAAGGTCCTTCGACTCTTCTATTGCACATACAAGATTTTCAAATTTGTCTGTTAAAGATCTTAAGATCTTTTCAACAACTCTTGCATCAGCTACTGTCTCTCCATTTCTTGTGAGTTGATTCACCACCTTCTGCACACGAGTGATGTAATCAGATACATTTTCTGTATCCTCTCCAATTCGCCACGAAGCGTTTGGAGTCGAACCTGCTTCACTCTATCTGCTCCTTTGAACACCTTTTCTAACGTGTCCCACGCTTGTTTCGACGTAGTCGAACTAGCAATAATCTTCTCGAAGCCTGATTCATCCACAGTCCTGAACAACATATATAATGTTATTTTGTCCTTCGCTCGCGTCTCTTTCAACGCCTTTGTTTGAGCTGCTGTAAATCCCCCAACTTTTGTTGGTTCTTCAAACCCATCATTGGTCACTTCCCACGCGTCTAGAGATCCAAGAAGAGCTTTCATTTGGATACTCCAGTTTTCATAGTTTGACTTCGTTAGCCGTAATAACGACATTTGATTCATCATGTTCGCCATGAGCTCTGATGCCAAATTGTTAGATTTACTGATCAGACTTCTGTATAAACTAACTTCTGTATATTGCTCTTAACAAAATAAGTTACACACTTGGTCCTTTATAGACCCAAATAAAACTAATACAATTCTAAACATAACTTCAAAACATAACTGCTACTATCATAACTAATAAAACTATTGCCCTTCCTACTACCATACTTAATACAAATCATTTATTTCAAACACATTTAATGTTTATTCAACAAAGAGTTCCTAAAGCCAAAAAATTTTTTGTCTGTTTGCTCGTGAACAAAGCATATGTTAATGTGCATAGTTGAGTAATAAATAGAAGGCCACATAGAAATTGTTTTGCAATCTAAAAGAAGAAAAAATCAAAATAATAGCTCTTCTTCTCCATCTTATCTTGTATACCAGGCTGTGTAGAAACATATCGAAATGGAATTTTGCGGAATTCTCAAACACTCGGACATGATTGATCATTTCATAATCACAAAGACATCATATGTTAGTATATCTGTGTATTTTAATTGAATCTTATTTCAGGTTTTTCAAAAATATACAATAATTTTTATTTCATGGAAAGCTTGTGTGTATATTTTTGTGTTTGCAGTCGTACCCAGAAATTGACCCTTCTTTTGTGAAAATATATGGAGATGAAATTTCCAAATGTTGGACTATCATGAACAACCAAGGTGTCCACCATGAACTGATCTTTAACCAACAGGAATTACATCCTCTCATTATTAGCGGTTGACCTTGCATGGAATCTTATTACAACCTACCTTGTGAGGTTGTCTTGACGGTGGGTTATTATGGTAAAAACAACTTTGGGATTTTATCATGTAAGGAGGGATATTTATTTTTTTGACGTCACTCTGGATCCGTTCAACGAAGATCTCCCAAAATTAGTTGAGTTTAAATTATGTTTACGTATTTAATTTGCATGTGAATATGTCATGTAGTATAAAGTTATTTATATTTATATTTGGATTGTAGAAATTGCAGGAGGACTTTGCAACCATCCTAAGAGACAATGTGTATGAAGATATTGTGTTGTGTGGTGACAACGGGAAGACAAAATTCATGTTGCTGTTCAAACTTGCAGACCTTGACCACACAAAGTTAGGATATGGATGGGATGAATTTTGCAACTCGAACAACTTCAAGATGGAGATAGAATTTGATTTAGGTTTGATGTTACTTCTTTGAACAAAACATGTTATGTATATTTATTTCCGTAAGCATAAGAAAGTTTTTTCGGTAGCATGGAATGTCCAAAAAATGAATATTTAAATTAAGTGCCTATGGTATGAAGCTTAAAAAAGTTGTTGATATTCCTGCTTAACAATTTCTTTATTTGTAAAACGCAAAAAGAAGCATTTTTACTAAATTATACATAACAGAATCCACCATTTAACACTGAACATAACTACAAAATTTTTAACCCAACATACATCACCCCTCCTAACGATCTGTCTCAAAGAACAGGAACACCATGATGAACTCCAACAGCCTCGAATATAAATCCCATAGTTGAAAAGAAAAACATTTAGCACTCTACCCAATAAAGATTGTACCTTACAAAATCAAAAAATGTGTATGCACCAGGAGGATTATAATAGTCCTTTGCAGTCCGGTTCCAGACCAGTTAGAGTTAATCTGGAAAGCTGAGGCAGAGCTCAACACCACACAGCAGAAAAAATCAGCAGTATACTTCAATTGTCTCCAACCGGCTAAATTATACTCGGTCATTCTACGTCACCAACAAACTGAGCCAAAAACCACCATAATTTAACTTGAATGCATGTAAATATAAACCATCAACATCAACCCACATTGACCTAAAGCTTATGTAATTGAAACACATTATGAAGACCTCAAAAAACTACCAAAAACATGTTGTCATGACAGTGGCGGTGGATTCTAAACCCATAACAACAGAGGAAGTTTGTCAACTGAAATGGAGGAAGTTGCCTGCAAACCAAAAAAGAATATAATAAGTACATTTACATAATATTTGTAAACCGCATCTGTTTATAAAATCATAAATTCAACGAAGACGTATAAATTCTTTACCTGAAATAGAGAATATTTATATATTGTTGAAAACCTCTTTGTATACAATGTTGATAGTTGTCGACTTTATCTTGTTGTTTTTCATCATATATCAATATTTTTATGTCTAGTTTAGTTGTCATCTTTGATAGTGCGACATAGATTTGGCCATGTGTGAATACATCTCTTGGCAAGTAAAGTCCAACTGTATCAAGAAATTGTCCTTGCGATTTGTTGATTGTCATTGCATATGAGACAACTATTGGATATTGACGTCGATAAAGTTTAAAAGGCCAAGGGGATTGTGAGGAAGACATATCCATTCGAGGGATGTAGACCAAGTTTCCATAACCTTTTCCTCCCATTATTTTCGCTTCAATGACATGGTTGGCCATCTTAGTTATCATTAACCTAGTGCCGTTATACAAACCCTCCGACTGATCTATGTTTCGCATAAGCATAACAGGTGTTCCAACATTCAACTTAATGTGATGGTTAGGTAACCCTGAAGTACTTAGTGAACTAAGAAACTCGGGTGTCAGGATATCAACTATATTAGTGTCATGAATTTCAGATTTATCGACAGAATTGGAGCTATAGTAATCCTTTAACTCCCCCTAAATAAGAAATATTGCCATGTTAGTGAATTTAATGAATAAAACATAGACTTTATAAAAAAAACATATAAGTGAGTTAGTAGGCCTGGAAGAGAATGAAAACCTCGCATCAAATGAAGGACGTGATCATTTATCTGATAAATAACTACTAATGTAAAAGCAAGTATTGTGCGACTTTTCAGGTAGTCGTTGGATTGGTAATGAAGGATAAAATTAGGGTAAGTACTATTGACTATGGCAACAATAGGGTCGTCATAATCTGTAAGTAAAAGTTCGGGCGATAAATCAATGTCGACAAATCCATCATTTGGCTCCGAGAGTTTGCCATCACCAATTTTCAATAGCCACTTTGAGAGCTCCGCAATTTCTCTCTTTTCAGATTCATCTGGGCCAGATTGCAGTCGCATGTTTTGGGTTAAAGTTAAAACTTGAACCGAATGCCATATGTAGGAAGCATTTATCATAGAGTGTACGATAATTGAATGACTCCCTCTGGGAACAACGAGCAAGATCTGTCTAAAATCACCTCCAAATACAACTACCTTGCCACCAAACATGTCCTCAGATTTACTGTACGTACTCATTACATCCTTCAAAGTTCGGTCGAGTGCTTCAAAAACATTCTTGTGTGCCATGGGTGCTTCATCACATATAATAAGCTTTGTCTGCCTTAGAAGCTCTGCAACATCATTGTTGTAGTTAATTTTACAGGTCTAATTATCCATTGTTGGCACGGGTATCTTGAATTCAGAATGTGCAGTTCTACCTCTAGGAAATAACAGAGAAGCTATTCCACTTATTGCAACGGTTAAACATATATCATGTTTGGACCTCAAAGCACTTGCAAGTGTTTGCCACCTGTAAGTTTTTCTCGTTCCCCCGTAACCATGTAGGAAGAACACCCCACCCTTTTTAGCATGGACAAATGCCATAATTTTATCAAAGATTATCCTTTGCTCATCTAAGAAAAAGTCAGCAAGAGTAAATGTATGAAATGAAAGTAAGGTAAGAGGCAATTCATTCAACAATCATAAGTAAGAACATGTTAGAGCATTGAAAAGTTTTATGAATTCAGATCTCATTGTAGACACATCATAATTTCATTCGTCATATATTAGTCGGTTGCCTAATTATTGTAGAACATATCCGTCTGGATATGGAATTGGTTCAAAATCTTTGAGACTTCGCCGATTTGCTTGAAGTAGTTTTTCAATCTAAGTTAAAGTCAAATTCAGCAACTGCTCGTCAGTCAATACCAATTCTGCTCCATTCATAATAAAACATAGATAGAGTCAGTGTAGGGTTATAAGTTATAAGTTCAGTACATAATAGAAACATAAAATATATAATACATTACATGCATGGATTACAGTCACGGTTTAGAAAACTCATGGAAAAAGTAATGGTATGATTTATATTGTTGATACAGGATATAAGGTTTTAGAACCAAAATGACGCAATTTGGAATAATTAGTGAGGCTGGAGGGATTATAGCATGAAAGTGTACAATTACAAAGCATAATAGTTTACCATATAAAAGGATCACAGAAACTCCAATTCATTAAACCACGGATTAATGTGACAAATTGGTAAAGCCTTTGAAAAATAAATGTTTGCCTTAATTTGTTTTACACATGATAGGGCTTTGTACAACCAAAAGGACTGATGTTGTATTAATCCATGAGGCAGAAGCTTCCGATGTTTTAATGTAAAACGTAAGCTATCATTAGATAGATGGATAAAACCTAAATTGTGAGCCAACAATCTTTGTTCATACAGCAGTTCATCAGATAAAAGCATCCACGATTCATTCCAAACATGAGCAGGCCTATTAACAACCCTTGACAAAAGCATGACTACGAAAAGCTTGCGGAGAAAATGATCTGAACTCCATTCACTCGCCTCCTTTATAGGCCCAATATATTCTCGATCGTCTTCAAGAAAGCCCATTGCAAAACATGCATCCCTAAAAGTTTCAAATTGAGTGTCGTTAACTTTGTGAATTTCTTCATACATGGAGGGTCCTTTGACTGTCGTCAACATCATTCGCAGATAAAATAGTTCTCAGTCATTGGTTGAACCCATATCAAACGGCCAATAGTGAAACCCTTTTTACGCGGTTTCCACGTTCTCGTCCTATTTTCATAAGCAAACTTAGAGACAAATTCACCATAGGTAAGTGTGATACCCTGATTTTTTACCTAAGATCTCACATTCCATCTGCATCATTGCATAACAAGTGTTCACGAGTAGTTTGACCTATTTTTGCTAATTCTCAAGCAAGATTTCAAAAATTCACAACTTCTCCAAATTTCAAATTTTTTAGCGGTTATATTTATATATGATTCTCCTTGATGTCATCTACAACTTTTATTTACAAGTCGAGAGCTGATTATACTTAAAAAGCCATTAAAAATGGAAAACATTAGAGGTCGTTTTGTGAATTTAGTGAATTTAGACTTAATTTCAATTGTATTTTATTCCGAGTTTATAAAATCATGCATTATACACCTTTCTTCTTGTCTTAGTCATCACTTCTTTTATTATTATTATAAAAAAAAATTCAAAAAAATATTTAGTCCATGTCATGTTCATCTTTATTTGCATTTTTAATTAAAAGTGTTGGCGGTATTGGTATGTTAGAAATTATAGTGTTGCAGGATTCTGCAGAGAAAACTACTTTTCGTCACTTTTTATACTATACTTCTACTGGTGGATGACCATTGAAAAACTCAGCCTCTTTTTTTTTTTTAATACACCAAACACTTCTACATATTAATCTTAGCATTACAAAACATTTATATAGGCTTGAATGAAACTGATAGAGAATACAAATAGGTTGCTAATCAAGATGAGGACTCTTTGGTTCTCTCAATTTTAATGATACAACTCTACCATAAATCTAAATAAAGACAATCATTATAATGTGATGGTTACAATTCTCTCATAATGCTTCCTAAAGATAGTGGTGGTTACAACACATTAATTTTAACACTCCCCCTTAATGTGTTGCTCTTTAACTCCCATTGCTTCTCTAAGTTGCTGAAATCTTCCTCTTGGTAGTGCTTTAGTAAAAATGTCT